TAATATGAAAATTTTTCTCGAAACTTTTAGGATATCACCTTGAGTTCACCTTGAACGACCTCTAAATGACATTGATGAAGGTAAAAGTGAAAATTGAAATCGAAATTTTGAGGAGATAAGTTAAAATACCAGGAGTAATTTGGCGGGAAATATGAATACGAAACATGTATTTATCTTTTTTCGGCAATATATTTTTACTTAATAATAATGTGAGTTAAAATAAATTGTTTATTAGGTGGAATAAATAAAATTCGGTTGTTTTACAACAATTTATTATTTATTGATATAAATCACCACTTGTACAATTTCTATTTTACCAACATATTTTACAGTTTCCTGTAATCGGTATTGTCAAAATAATAAATACAAAACCCTTGTATATCGATATTACTAATATTAAACAAAATTTAACAATAATCTAAATATGCAATAACAAACATAAAGGAGACATATCGAATTTAAAACCTAAATTAGACTTGTCAAAATATGATGATTTAAATAATTCGTTTTTAACAAAGATAAGAAGTGAAAATAGAAACGTAACAATTTCAAAACATTTTTTGGGACATAGAAAGTTCCTATTTCAAAAATAATAATAATAGGGGTATTGAAATCGTTATAAATACACTCCCTTCCCCTATAAACAAATCAAATTCAACTTTAGTCACCTTGTTAATTGTTTAAAAACATTTCTTTGTGTAAAAATGAGATTAATCATTCTTTTAATCACTCTCATCAGCGTAAGTAAACGATTTAAAATCCTAAATTTAAATTATATCGATTTCTTTTCATTATTAGATATCAAATTCGCAAATTTTTGAAGGGAATTCAACAAATTTAACTTCCTCCAGCAATCATTTAGTAAGATAACCTAAAATAAATTAAAAAAATATTTATTGTTTTGTTGTAGACAACGAAATCACCAAATACTTCGATTAATTCGTCACTTAATTCATCAATTCCTGTTAAAGAAATCATAAACGATGATATTTTAATAAGTTATCCAAGTAATTTTGGTGGAAATTTTCAAATCGCGCTTGAAGATCCAACATCAAACTTTGACTCAGAACATGATATTAACCACCACCCATTTTGGTTCTTACGCCCCGTTTTTAAAAAGATTTCGAACGTTGTTAATTATTTAAATCATCCAAATACCGCTTTAACACCAGCGCAAATTCTTCAAAAGTTTAAACATAAATTATCGGTGCTTATAAATAAAACTTACAAAGATATTTGTGAAGAAAAGTAATAAATTGAAAAGTGCTTATTTTAATTGTTATTAAGGTTTAAACAACAAAATATAACCTCAAAATTAGATTAAAAAGTGAAATGTCAATTTTGAGTCGGTAATATAGATGACTTCATTGAGTCGATAAAGTAGATTTCATTAATATTGTTAAATATTAATTAAATTGTTACTTTTTAAACAGTTTTGTTATTTAAAATTTCAATCCAATAACCATCAGGATCAGTGATGAAAGCAATCGTTTTCATTTTTCCATCTTGAGGACGCTTTATAAAGTTAACACCCATTTTTTCGAACCGTTCGCAAGCTTTTTCAACATTTGGGACCATCAATCCAATATGACCTTATCATAATGTTATAATTAAATAAATATAACCTAAATAAATTTGATTTTTACCAAAACCCCTTGGATCGGAATTTCCGTTATGATATTTAAAATTAGGATCATTTTCCGTTCCCCAATTGCTATTAAAAAAATAAATAATTTAAAAAAATTAAATTAATTAATTAATACATACTGTGTGAGCTCTAAAGTAGCCTTCCTAGAAATAGCCCATTCGCTACGCTCTTTCGTGCCTAATTCCCCAATTACATCCTCAGCTTCTTCAAATCCCATAAAATAAAGCGAAAATTTCATCTCTGGAAAATCCATTTTTTGCAATAATCTCATCCCTAAGATTTCCGTGTAAAACGGAAGAGTCACTTTTGGATCTTTAATGCGAAACATCGTTTGTTGGAAAATAAATTCCTTAATTAATAAGAAAAAAAATCGTTTTAATAAATTGAGGTTATGTTGCATTAGTTACCTTCGTTGTTGGATCCGGTTCTTTGCATAATTTTAAAGCCTCTTCGTTCGAAATTGGTATGGAGTCGCCCATTTTTGATTAAATGAATGCAATATGGTGCTTATTTTAATTGTTATTAACGTTTTATCAACAAAATTTAATCTTAAACTTAGACTAGAAGGTGAAATGTCAATTTTCTGGGTCGGTAATGTAGATGACATAATCGAGTCGATAAAGTAGAGGACTATATTGCAAAATTAAATTTTTAATTTATAAATTAATAAAAATATTTTAAATAAATAATATTTAAATTATAAGGTGAAAATCTTGTTTATAGATATACATCTAAATATTTATTAACCTTGCATATAGATTTTAAGAATCTATTTAAGGTGAAAATGTCAACTTGACGTCGGTAATGTAGATGACATAATAGCGTCGATAAAGTAGACTTGGTTCATATCGCAAAATTAAATTGTTATTAATTTATACTCTATTTTTTAATTCAGAGGAGTGTTTTCAAATTGAAACACCAAAATGAAGGTTGCTGAAAAAAACTTTCAGGTGTTAATCTCAACTTTAATTTTATTATTATATTCGTAATCGTTATAAAATAACCTTTAAAATGAGTCCAAACATGACGCAGTTATCTCAAAAAACAAAAAAGTTAGAATAAAAAATGTTAAACGCGAAGTTAGCAACAATTTAATTTTTAAATATTAGTACCAACCTTAATTTCTAATTTTTTTTTATTATATTTTTGTTTTTGTGACAAATTTTAAGACATTTTATAAAAATTAAGAATATATCAAAATGACATTGACATTTCAAACCGGAAGTTGCTTATATCTCGGGTAATATTGGATTTAAACGTACCAAGTTTGGGCTCATTTTAAAGGATTTTTTACGACGATTACAAATATGTCAAAATTGAGGTTGACATTTCTAACCGGAAGTTGACCATAACTTCATTAATATTAAAGATAAATATGTCGTGTTTGTACTCATTTTAAAGGATTTTTAATGAAGATTACAAATATGTCAAAATTGAGGTTGACATTTCTAACCGGAAGTTAACCATAACTTCATTAATATTGAAGATAAATATGTCGTGTTTGTACTCATTTTAAAGGATTTTTAATGAAGATTACAAATATGTCAAAATTGAGGTTGACATTTCTAACCGGAAGTTAGTTATCATATAATAGACAAATGAACAACTTCATGCTGTTCTTTCATAATGTATTATTTATTAAAAAACCTTTAAAATGAGTCCAAACATGATGCATTTATCTCAAAAAATAAAAAAGTTAGAATAAAAAACATTATACCTGAAGTTGGCAACAATGAAGATAGCAATTTAATTTTTAAATATTAATACCAACCTTAATTTTTGTTTTTTGTTATATCTTTGTTTTTGTGACAAATTTTAAGACATTTTATAAAAATTAAGAATATATCAAAATGACATTGACATTTCAAACCGGAAGTCGTTTATATCTCGGGTAATATTGGAATTAAACGTATCATGTTTGGGCTCATTTTAAAGGATTTTCCACGACGATTACAAATATGTCAAAATTGAGGTTGACATTTCTAGCCGGAAGTTGACCTTAACTTCATTAATATTGAAGATAAATATGTCGTGTTTGTACTCATTTTAAAGGATTTTTAATGAAGATTACAAATATGTCAAAATTGAGGTTGACATTTCTAACCGGAAGTTGACCATAACTTCATTAATATTAAAGATAAATATGTCGTGTTTGTACTCATTTTAAAGGATTTTTAATGAAGATTACAAATATGTCAAAATTGAGGTTGACATTTCTAACCGGAAGTTAATTATCATATAATAGACAAATTGACAACTTCTTTCATAATGTATTATTTATTAAAAAACCTTTAAAATGTGTCCAAACATGATGCATTTATCTCAAAAAATAAAAAGTTGGATTAAAAAACGTTATACTCGAAGTTGGCAACAATGAAGATAGCAATTTAATTTTTAAATATTAATACCAACCGTAATTTTTTATTTTTTTATTATTTTTGTTTTTGTGAAAAATTTTAAGATAATTTATAAAAATTAAAAATATATCAAAATGACATTGACATCTCAAACCGGAAGTTGCTTATATCTCGAGTAATATTGGAATTAAACGTATCAAGTTTGGGCTCATTTTAAAGGATTTTTTACGATTACAAATATGTCAAAATTGAGGTTGACATTTCTAACCGGAAGTTGACCATAACTTCATTAATATTGAAGATAAACATGTCGTGTTTGTACTCATTTTAAAGGATTTTTAATGATGATTACAAATATGTCAAAATTGAGGTTGATATTTCTAACCGGAAGTTAGTTATCATATAATAGACAAATGAACAACTTCATGTTGTTCTTTCATAATGTATTATTTATTAAAAAACCTTTAAAATGAGTCCAAACATGATGCATTTATCTCAAAAAATTAAAAAGTTAGAATAAAAAACATTATACCGGAAGTTGGCAACAATGAAGATAGCAATTTGATTTATAAATATTAATACCAACCTTAATTTTTGTTTTTTTTTGTTATATGTATCTTTGTTTTTGTGACAAATTTTAAGACATTTTATAAAAATTAACAATATATCAAAATGACATTGACATTTCAAACCGGAAGTCGTTTATATCTCGGGTAATATTCGATTTAAACATATCATGTTTGGGCTCATTTTAAAGGATTTTTCACGACGATTACATATGTCAAAGTTGAAGTTGACATTTGCAACCGGAAGTTGACCTTAACTTCATTAATATTGAAGATAAATATGTCATGCTTGTACTCATTTTAAAGGATTTTTAATGAAGATTACAAATATGTCAAAATTGAGGTTGACTTTTGGCACATGAAGTTTGTTATCACATAATAGACAAATTGACAACGTCATGGTGTTCTTTTATGATGTATTATTTATTAAAAAAAACCTTTAAAATGAGTCCAAACATGATACATTTATCACAAAAAAGAGAATAAAAAACATTAACCTTGAATCTTGAATGATTCTGGTTCTAGGTCTTGTGTTAGTTTTAGCATAATAATATTTTATGCTAACTAGCGCTACCTACCATTGCCACTAGAACTAGCACAAGACCGAGAACTAGAATCATTCGGGTTTAGCCGTCTTTAGAGACGTGCGGCTAAATCCGAATGATTCTAGTTCTAGGTCTTGTGTTAGTTCTAGTGATAGTGCTAGTGTAAAACTAGAACTAACAATAGCCCCGGTTTTTATTGTTTAAACAAATAAGTAATTATTGTTCGTAACAACAATTTACTTAAAATGCTCTCTAGTTTTAAAACTCCCGCCAAAAAATACCAGGTTATTAGGTCTATAGATATACATCTATATTATTATATCTATTAACAAGGGTGAAAATGTCAACTTCAAGTCGGTAATGTAGATTACTTAATCGGGTCGGTAAAGTAGTTAGCAATAAAAGAAATTTTGACGTAATTGTATCGCAAAATTAAATTATTATTATTTAATTAATAAACCAATTAAATTGTTTTAAATAAATAATGATTAAAAGAAAAGCTCCTTCTGAAGATAATCCGAATCAAGATTTCTGCGAGTTCTTAATCGGTAATTCAAAATCAATACAAAAACAATCATAACCTCACTTTTTATTTACATCAATCTCCCCCTTTAATTAAGTTTAGAATTAGCCGATTACGAAAAGAATGTAAATCGTAACATTTACAAATACAACGCGTATAAAAAAACTTTGAAAAATTACACCGTGTAAACGTGACTTTCTATTTTACTCCTCCGAATTAACAAATAGAGTATATAAATTAATTAAAATGTTTTAAATAAATAATCCTTAAATTAAAAAAAATCTAAAAAATAAGGATAAAAATGTCAACTTCAAGTCGGTAATGTAGATGACTTAATCGGGTCGGTAAAGTAGTTAGCAATAAAAAAATTTGACGTAATTCGTATCGCAAATATAAATTGTTATTATTTAATTAATAAATCGATTAAATTGTTTTAAATAAATAATGAGTAAAAGAAAAGCTCCTTCTGAAGATAATCCGAATCAAGATTTTTGCGAGTTCTTAATCGGTAATTCAAAATCAATACAAAAACAATCATAACCTCACTTTTTATTTACATCAAATCTCCTTTAATTAACTTTAGAATTAGCCGATTACGAAAAGAATGTAAATCGTAACGTTTATAAATACAACGCGTATAGAAAAGCAGCCAGCGTATTGGGAAATCACCCAATTAAAATAACATCAGGAAAAGAAGCAAAAAAACTAAATGGAGTTGGAGAAAAAATCGCGAAAAAAATCGACGAATTCCTACAAACAGGAAAATTACAAAAACTAGAAAACGTATGTAACAAATTATCTCAATTAATACAATTATCTCAAATTAAGAATGATTTTTTAAGATTCACAAAGACGAATCGTCGATTGCGATAAACGAATTAACGAGGGTGAGCGGAATTGGTCCGGCGAAAGCTCAAAGTTTATTCGCGTCTGGTATCAAAAGTTTAGACGATTTAAAACGCAATCAAAGTTCGTTGAATCACCACCAAAAAGTGGGGTTAAAACATTTAGAAGATTTCGAAAAAAAAATCCCTCGCGACGAAATCCAAGAGATCGAAGCGATTTTAAAAAGCGAAATTTCCAAGCTCGACCGCAACTTTACAGTTACAATTTGCGGAAGTTACAGGAGAGGAAAATTGGAAAGCGGCGATATCGACACTTTAATAACTCACCCTGCGTTTACGAGTAAATCAAAGAAAATTAAACAGAATTATTTGAGTGATATCGTTGATGTTTTAAGGGGTGATTTAATCAAGGAAACTTTGTCTTTGGGGGAAACTAAGTTTATGGGGGCTTGTAAGTTGGGGGGTAATAATGATAATAATAAGAATGTAATGAGGAGGATTGATATTCGGTTGATTCCTTATGACCAATATTTTTGTGGGGTTCTTTATTTTACAGGGTCTGATTTGTTTAATAAGGAGATGAGGGGGTTCGCTTTGCAAGAGGGGTTTACTTTGAATGAGTATTCGTTGAGACCTTTGGGGGTAACGGGGGTTCCTGGGGAAGCTGTTGAGATAAGTTGTGAAAAGGATATTTTTGATTGTTTAGGGTACCCTTATAAAGAACCGCATGAAAGAAATAAATAACTAACTTTGTTTTATTTCTAATTATGGATGATTTAAATAAAAGTGAGGTTAGGTTGAGAAAAATAATGTAATTTTTACAAAGCTATTCGTTACAAAAATTGAATGTACTTACTCTGCGTTAAAAACGGATCTTTCAACTTCATTTAATGCGAAAATTGATTAATATAATTATTATAAAACTTTATTTTGATGCAACAAGTGATTTTTTTAAAGATGTCGGTGCTTATTGACAAATCACCATGGTAACGGCAGGGTTGAAAACTTTTAAACGAAAATTTATTTTACTCGCAAAATTTTCGTACTTTTCTGCCGATGGGATAAGAAATAAAACTAAAACTAGAAATTTTCTGGTTATGCCGTGCGTCAAAGACGCAAAATGAGTTAAATAATTTTTTTAATGAAACGTCAAAAATGTCACTTGAAAGAAACGCATAGGAGATAGCGCCATCTATTAAAGAAAGTTGTAAAGTAAAATTTTTTTTAATGAAACGTCAAAAAAAATGTCATTTGAAAAAGTGAGGTTAGGTTGTGTCGAAAAAGTGAGATTAAAAATCCTCATCATCATTTTCTAGCACAGTTGTAAAGTAACACGGCCGTTTTCAAAGACATCGGCCGCCCCTTGCCTGCGGGGCCGTAAAAATCATTGAAATCAAGATTTGATCTCTACACGCATTTGTGAAAATGAACATTTCATGCTTTCGGGGGCGGCCAATGTCTTCGAAAACGGCCGTGTTAGTTTAAAACTGTGTTATTTTTGTTTATCTATGTTATGTTCGTCCCAACCTCACTTTTGCAAAGACATTTTTTGACGTTTCGTTAAAAAAAAATTTATTTTACTTACTCAGTATTTTACTTCGACGATTTTCTTTCATATTAGCGATTCATAAGAAGAGATCTCGCTTGAAACAGCCACAAAAAGTAAACTCGGCCGACTTCGAAGACGTCGGCCGCCCACAAGATACGAAATAACCATCTGTACATGATCTCAATGTACCGCAATAATAACTAATTCGTTACAAAAATTAAATGTACTTACTCTGCGTTAAAACGGATCATTCAATTTCATTTAATGCGAAAATTGATTAATATAATTATTATAAAACTTTATTTTGACGCAACAAGTGATTTTTTTAAAGATGTCGGTGCTTATTGACAAATCACCATGGTAACGGCAGGGTTGAAAACTTTTAAACGAAAAATTATTTTACTCGCAAAATTTTCGTACTTTTCTGCCGATGGAATAAGAAATAAAACTAAAACTAGAAATCTTATTTAATTTTTCAAAATTTTTAGTTTTAGTTTTATTTCTAACGCAAAATGAGTTAAATCATTTTTTTAATGAAACGTCAAAAATGTCACTTAAAAAGAGATAGCGCCATCTATCGGAAAAAGACTAAAAATGTACGTTCGTAACTATCTTCTCATCATGTCAAATATTTTAACGTGATTTAAAACCACGAAAAACACGAATTATTATTTGTTTTTTTTTTATAACGTAAAATGAATGACTAAAACGAACCTCTATGACACAAATATCTTTTTAGTTTTATTTCTAAAACTGAGTGAGTTAAAATTTTTTAATGAAACGTCAAAAAAATTGTCATTTGAAAAAGTGAGGTAGTTTTCGAAGACATCGGCCGCTAAAACATTGAAATCAAGGTTTGATCTCAACACGTATTTGTGAAAATGAATATTTCGTGCCTTCGGGGGCGCCCGATGTCTTCGAAAACGGCCGTGTTAGTTTAAAACAGTGTAATTTTTGTTTATCTATCTTATGTTCGTCCCAACCTCACTTTTGCGTCAAAGACGCACGGCATAACCTCAACGCAAAATGAGTTAAAACATTTTTTTAATGAAACGTCAAAAATGTCGGAGATAGCGCCATCTATCGGAAAAAGTCTAAAAATGTACGTTCGTAACTATCTTCTCATCATGTCAAATATTTCAACGTAATTTAAAATCACGAGAAACGCGAATTATTATTTAATTTTGCCGTCTTTGATGCACGGCATAACCTCAAAATTTCCAACCATCAATCCACGTGGTAACCAGCCTCAATACTTCACTACCTTACATGATCAATATTATTGTCAATAAGTTACCTTTTTTATCAAGAACTCACACTGTTCTTGGTTGATAATTGTACAAAAGCTTGGGTAGCTATTATTTTGATTTTTACTCGTCCAGTGAAACGCAAACACAGGATGAAAGAATGGTTGAAGAAGAGAGATGAATATTCTCATCTAGTACTTTTGAAAGAAATCAGTGTGTGATGTTGATGATTTTAAGAACTACTTTCGAATGAATGAAACAAACTGTTACAGATGGTTGAACAATTTTTGCAAAGACAGGATTGCAATATGAGAGGAAGTATAAGTGTTAGGGAAAGATTAACCTTAACCCTGAGGTACTTGGCCACAGGAAAAAATGTTGAAGACTTCAAGTTTTCTGTCATAATGTCCCCAGGAACTATTAGCAAAGCTGTAATAGAAACATGGAAAGCGTTTACATATGTTCTACAACACTACATGGAGATAGTTTGTATTGCTCGATGAAATTATGAAGAACATGTTCATCATCATGGGAACTGGATGAACCAACACTATCTCTATCGTGTTGAACGTCAACAACGTCAGTTAATGGGTTGGTCATTTTCGCCTCTTCTTCACAAACGCGCTGCTTGAGCTAAACTGAGTGTAATGTAGAAAATCAGAATTAAATCTGTTTTCAAATCACCTCGGCTAAAATAACATATGTTTTTTTAATGTGTTGATAGACATGTTTTGTTATTGCTACAATTAAATAAATGTATTTAATTTTGAATGTTGAGTTTATTACACAGAGTATTGATGGAAATATTGGCGCCAACCCTACACGGTCAATAGTATTGTCAATATCCCCCCAATTTTCAGTATTGATACCCGAAAATCCTGATTTTTATCAATACTTCATCAATATTTACCGCCAATCAAATTTTTCACATTACACGGTCAATATTATTGATTGCGTAAGGGCCGCTTTACGCAAATTGAGTTAATTACATTTTTTTTCCGTCGACTGTGTATTTATATGATTTATAAATGTATACAAAATCACTTATTTAACCTCACTTTTAATGTATCAAAAGTCAAAACTTATTATTGTAGTCTTACCGAATAGATATAGTGGTCGGTATTACAGATTTCATTCAATTGACCATTATATTAGTTCGGTCGGACTTTCTCAAAGTTTGCCAGTGATAGAATTGGGTGATTTTTCAACGATTGATTTTCTCTATTTTGTTGAAAAGGCAGTCAACGGAAAAATATTGTAACTAACTCGTATATTAAATATTTCGATAATTCATCGCCTTCATTAATACACTTGTTAGTTAAATAACAATTAATGAAATATCAAAAAAAATGTCATTTGAAAAAGTGAGATTAGGTTGTGTCGGAAAAGAGATTAGAAATCCTCATCATCATCATCCGCAAAATCATTGAAATCAAGGTTTGATCTCTACACGCATTTGTGAAAATGAACATTCCGTGCTTTCGGGGGCGGCCAATGTCTTCGAAAACGGCCGTGTTGGTTTAAAACTGTGTTATTTTTGTTTATCTATCTTAGGTTCGTCCCAACCTCGCTTTTCCAAGTGACATTTTTTGACGTTTCGTTAAAAAAAAAATTATTTTACTCACTCAGTGCGTCTTCGACGATTTCCTTTCATATAAGAAATTACCTCGCTTGAAACAGCCACAAAAAGTAAACTCGGCCGACTCTTTCAGCTTCATTTAATGCGAAAATTGATTAATATAATCGCGATAATTATTATAAAAGTTTATCTTGACGCAACAAGTGATTTTTTTTAAAGATGTCGGTGCTTATTGACAGATCACTATGGTAACGGCAGGGTTGAAAACTTTTAAACGAAAAATTATTTTAGTCGCAAAATTTTCGTACAATTTTTTACCGATGGAATAAGAAATAAAACTAAAACTAGAAATTTTAGGAAATTTTATTTAATTTTTCAATATTTATAGTTTTAATTTTATTTCTAACGCAAAATGAGTTAAAACATTTTTTTAATGAAACGTCAAAAATGTCACTTAAAAGGAGATAGCAAATTCAGTCTACAACGTCGTCCAGTGGATTGCGAGGGTACTAAACCTCCGTCTATATTTTTATAGTGATTTATCTATCTTATGTTCGTCCCAACATCACTTTTCCAAACCAACATAACCTCACTTTTCCAAATCACATTTTTCGACGTTTCGGTAAAAAGAAATTCATTTTACTCACTTTGTGCGTCTTCGACGATTTTCTTTCATATTAGCGATTCATAAGAAGTGATCACGCTTAAAGCAGTCACAAAAAGTAAACTCGGCCGCCCACAAGATACGAAACATCCACCTACAGAAGATCTCAATGTTACGGAATAATAACTAATTCGATAATGTACTTACTCTGCCTTAAAAACGGATCGTTCAACTTCATTTAATGCGAAAATTGATTAATATAATTATTATAAAACTTTATCTTGACGCAACAAGTGATTTTTTTTAAAGATGTCGGTGCTTATTGACAGATCACCATGGTAACGGCAGGGTTGAAAACTTTTAAACGAAAAATTATTTTAGTAGCAAAATTTTCGTACACTTTTTTTACCGATGGAATAAGAAATAAAACTAAAACTAGAAATTTTAGGGTTTAAATTTCAAAAATTTCTAGCTTTAGTTTTATTTCTAACGCAAAATCAGTTAAAACATTTTTTTAATGAAACGTCAAAAATGTCACTTAAAAAGAGATAGCGCCATCTATCGGAAAACCCTAAAAATGTACATTCGTAACTATCTTCTCATCATGTCAAAGAAACAAATAACTTTTTGGTCTTATTTTATTATTTTAAACCTTTTTATCATCAATTTTTTCTGGATATTGTTCAGGGATTGGGTCGGAATCGGTTTGGGTGTCTTGAATTTTGACGGCGACGTTTCGGGGGATAGAATGGGGCACTAAAGACGGTTGTAATAACGGTATCCGATACGGTTGGTTCCTTAACCGGTTGTTTTCGAGGCGTAATCGCTTGACTTCTTCGTGCACCTCTTCGAGGCGGTCTTCCAAGTCGGCGATTTTCGACTCGAAAAGGTCTAAATCTTTCATTCGGGCGTAGTACTCGGCGATGAAGAGGCAAGAGGCGATACCTAGACCCACGTAGAGGGTCGTTAATGGTATCCCGTTATTTGTTGCCATCTTTTAAGGGGATAAAAATCATTTTGATTGACGTAATAAAATGAATTAACTTTAAAATTTTATTTATTTTTCCTTGTGTCAACTTCATCATCACTGACAATTTCATTTATTTGATTAATTAAGAGCTATTTTTTTGCAAAAAAAAGGCTTTGTTATCTTAATATTTGGCACTGCCGTGGGGACACTGGTGTTAAAAGGAGATGGGGATTTTCGATGATTAAGTACAAAGTGCGGGGGCAAAAATGAGAGGGAGAGGGGACCTATATTATTATTAATTATAATACAATTCCTTTAAAACATCAACATACATATATATATATCGGAGGGGGTTAAAGCTTTCATTAACAAAGGGATTTTTGTGCGTATCATTTATTATTAAGGCAGACCTAATAAAGGGATCATTCATTTAGTTTCCTTTTTTATCATTATCAAGAGAAGGCACTTCGTTACAACAAACAAATCATTACATAGAGAGAACTTGAGGCTGCAGTTTAGCACCAACCTGTTTTATTATTATCGTTATTATTATTACTATTTGCATTAATTTTTTTTGTAATATTTACACGGTCCGGCAAATAACAAACAAACAAACGGCCGTTAGAGAGAAAGAAACAAAGATAATAATAATAAGAAATGAATAGAGTACAAAAAGAACATTAAAATTATATCAATAAATAACTCGTTATTATTATTATTAATAAAGCAAAAATCTGGTTTTCTTTCAACGTAAAAAAAGTGTAAACGAAAAGAATCGTTGCTAATAATTAAATTCTTTTATGTTATATACATCGTACGATCTAAAAAGTGATTTATTTAAAAAAAAATTCGTTGCAAATCGATTTTGTTGGGTTCAGTTTGTCGAAATCGATTATCTCGTTTCGTTTTTTAACCTAAAAATAATAAAACGTCAAATGTGACAAGGTGATGAAATTTTATTACCAACCTAAAAATTGTTTTTAACTCTACAGTGAATACGTTTAGCCTGATTATTGTATAGTTTACGAAATGAAAATGATTTGTGATTGAACCTAATTTTTCCAACACAACTTAACCTCACTTCATCAGCTGATGTAATAACGATGGACGATTTAAATAAGTTAAGTTAATTTACTTACTCTGCCTTAAAAACGGATCTTTCAGCTTCATTTAACACGAAAATTGATTAAAATAATTATTAAAAAACTTTATCTTGATGCAACAAGTGATTTTTTTAAAGATGTCGGTGCTTATTGACAGATCACCATGGTAACGGCAGGATTGAAAACTTTTAAACGAAAAATTATTTTAGTCGCAAAATTTTCGTACTTTTCTGCCGATGGAATAAGAAATAAAACTAAAACTAGAAATTTTGAGATTATTAACCCGAAAATTTCTAGTTTTAGTTTTATTTCTAACGCAAAATGAGTTAAATCATTTTTTTAATGAAACGTCAAAAATGTCACTTAAAAGAAACGCATGAGATAGCGCCATCTATTGAAAAAAAATTAAAAATGTACGTTCGTAACTATCTTCTCATCATGTCAAATATTTCAACGTAATTTAAAACCACGAAAAACACTAATTATTATTTGATTTTTTTTTATAACATAAAATGAATAACTAAAATGAACTTCTGTGATGCAAATTTGCTTTTAGTTTTATTTCTAAGATTGAGTGAGTAAATTTTTTTTTTTATGAAACGTCGAAAAAATGTAATTTGAAAAAGTGAGGTTAAATTGTGTCGGAAAAGTGAGATTAGAAATCTTCATCATCATTTTCTAGCACAGTTTTAAACTGACACGGCCGTTTTCGAACTCGGCCGCCCACAAGATACCAAATCTCCATGTACAGGGTGGTTCAAATTCAATGTCCGAATAGGCTATCTCGGAAACTATAAGAGTTAGAAAAAAAGTAGCTTACATGTCATGATTTCGTTTTTCGAGTAACTGCTAATCATAGATTAGATATAATATACTGTTATATATATTACATAAAATAAATTAATATAACATACTATTTTTAATATACAGGGTGGTTCAGTTTTTAATCGGGAAACTTTACTAGGATGAAAAAACTAAAGAGACAAAAAAGTACCAATAATGAACAAGCGTTAAAAAGTTGTTATAAAAAAAATGAAAGGGGTTGTGAATTTCATCCCCTTAGAGGGCGCTAGGGAAGTTTAAGGTATGGTTGAAAATAAGATATTAACCAGTAGTACAAACATACAAAATTTCAAATTCTATGGTTTACTCATACCCGAAATAGAAGATAAAATGTAAATTTTTGACAGCTCATAGCTCGAAAACAAAAGAGTTGCGACCCTATGGTTATATAAAAACCTTGTATTATTTTAGCAAGTACTACGTCCTAGTAAAGTTTCCCGATTAAAAACTGAACCACCTTGTATATTGTATTGTATTTAATCTTCATTAAGTAGTATTTAACCTGCTCCGAGCAATTTTTTGTCTACAGAAGCTGGTTTTTATATTCTACAAGCAGCTGTTAGTCTTCTGCAAACAGTATCTAGTCTCATACAAGCAGTATTAACGCCTGTGAGCAGTATACAGTCATCTGAAAACAGTATTTAGTCTCATACAAGCTGCATTTAAAATTCTACAGGCAGTATCTAGTCTCGTAGAAGCAGTGCTAACTTTTGCAACCAGTAGGTAGTTCTCTGCAAACAGTATTTAATCATCTGTAAGCAGTATTTAATCTGCTACGAGCAATTTTTTGTCCCCAGAAGCAGGTTTTTATGTTCTACAAGCAGTTTTTATTCTTCTGCAAACAGTATCTAGTCCCATACAAGCAGTATACAGAGATCTGAAAACAGTATTTAGTCTCGTACAAGCAGCATTTAATCTTCTGCATGCAGTATCTAGTCTCGTACAAGCAGTACTAACTTCTGTAACCAGTAGGTAGGCTTCTGCAAACAGTATTTAATCTTTTGTAAGCATTATTTAACCTGCCACGAGCAGTTTTTAGTCTCCTATAATCATTTTTTACCTCCTACAAGCAGTTTTTATTGCCTACAAGCAGTTTTTAGTCTTCTGCAAACAGTATCTAGTCCCGTACAAGCAGTATTAACGCCTGTGAACAGTATACAGTCCTCTGAAAGCAGTATTTAGTCTCATAGAAGCAGTATTTAATCTTCTACAGGCAGTATTATAACTAAGACATTATATGGACACTTTTTTACAGAGAATTTGATGAAGTAGTCAAAAAAAATTTGTTGGTTTTACATTATGAGATATTATGACAATTTTCGTTTTTTTTAAATGGAAACAACCACTGATTATTAGCTTATTAAATTCGCAATTTTTTTCTAATTACAAAAATACGGGGTTAGATAGGTCTATTTCTTATTGTTTTAGAATAAAGCAAAAAATAAACTTTTTTTAGTGTCGTCAAAGAAATTAAATTTACAGTTTCCTGTAAATTATAACTAAAAATTAAAAAAACACATTTCTGATATTTGAAACAAACACACGGCCGATGTCTTCGAAAACGGCCGTGTCAGTTTAAAACTGTGTTGGGAAATGTGTTATTTTTGTTTATCTATCTTATGTTCGTCCCAACCTCACTTTTCCATTATTTTCCAAACCAACATAACCTCACTTTTCCAAGTGACATTTTTTGACGTTTCGTTAAAAAAAATTTATTTTACTCACTCAGTGCGTCTTCGATGATTTTCTTTCGTATTAGCGATTCATAAGAAATGATCTCGATTGAAACAGCCTCAAAAAGTAAACTCGGCCGCCCACAAGATACGAAATATCCATCTACACAAGATCTCAATGTTCCGCAATAATAACTAATTCGTTATAAAAGTTGAATGTACTTACTCTGCGTTAAAAACGGATCTTTCAGCTTCATTTAATGCGAAAATTGATTAAAACAATCACGATAATTATTATAAAACTTTATCTTGATGCAACAAGTGATTTTTTTAAAGATGTCGGTGCTTATTGACAGATCACCATGGTAACGGCAGGGTTGAAAACTTTTAAACGAAAAATTATTTTAGTCGCAAAATTTTCGTATTTTTCTGCCGATGGAATAAGAAATAAAACTAAAACTAGAAATTTTGAGGTTATTAACCTGAAAATTTCTAGTTTTAGTTTTATTTCTAACGCAAAATGAGTTAAAACATTTTTTTAATGAAACGTCAAAAATGTCACTTAAAAGAAACGCATAGGAGATAGCGCCATCTATTGAAAAAAGTTTTAAAATGTACGTTCGTAACTATTTTCTCATTGTGTCAAATATTTCAACGTAATTTAAAACCACGAGAAATACGAATTATTATTATTTGATTTTTTTTTATAACATAAAATGAATGACTAAAACGAACTTATATGACGCAATTTTTTTTTTAGTTTTATTTCTTAAACCGAGTGAGTTATATTTTTTTTTAATGAAACGTCAAAAAAAATGTCATTTAAAAAGTGAGGTTAGGTTGTGATGGAAAAGTGAGATTAGAAAATCCTCATCATCATTTTTTACCACTGTTTTAAACTAACACGGCTTTTTTGAAGACATCGGCCACTAAAACATTGAAATCAAGGTTTGATTTGAACATTTCGTGCTTTCGGGGGTGGCTGATGTATTTGAAAACGGCCGTGTCAGTTTAAAACTGTGTTGTGAAGAATTATTTTTGATACAAGATAACGAAATGACACTTTTGCATTGTGTTGTATAGAGGTTGGTAGTTCATATAGCCAACTTCATAGCAGTGTGTCAACCACCATTAGAAGTAAGGCCGTTATAAGTTACTATTGTTGTGTGTAAAGTAAAGTTAACGTTAATAAAGTTGTTATAAATCCTGTGTGGAATTCTTATTATTTGACTGAAAGTCATCACATGGTGTTAGGTTAAAAGAACAAACTCACGAAAAACAATGAAATCTTCAACGAAAACGTTGATGAAAGTTGGAAAAACTTCAAGCAAAAATTTGAAATCTACTTAAAAGCGACGGAAAAAGAAAAGAAAAAACCAGATAAAGATTGCAATGTTACTTAATGCTATCGGAGATGAAGGTTTGAAAAACGTGGTATTTAATTTTTTCAATAGATCGCAAGATGATGGAGAAGGGTTTGATAGATATTTAACGGACTTAAAAAAGTTAGCTAAGGAATTTGGAGAACAAGAAGCATCTCTAATAAGAGATAGAATAATTTTAGGGATTAAAGATGTTACATTACAAGAAAGACTATTGAGAGAGTCTACGTTGGATTTGAAACACGCCGCTCAAGTTTATAGAGCTCATGAGATTAGTAAGATGGTTTAACAGGAAAGAAATAAATAAATGTTGTAAAAAATAAGAATGCTAACGAGAAAACCTATAAATGTAAAAAATGTGGTTGTTATGGACATTTTGCAATCGGATATTGAAAATCTGGAAAAAAGAAGTTGAAGAAGACGAAAATTTGTATATGGAAGATAAGAAACCTAAATGGATGTACTCATTAACTGTTCATGGAACAAAAATAATGTTTAAATTAGATTCAGGAGCAGACGTTAATGTTTTATCATTTAAGTGTGTCAAATCAAAAACTAGTTGCATATGGTGGAAGAAAACTAGATACAAGAACAAAAGAAATAATAAACTTTGTAGTAGTAAAGGAAAATGGAAATCCAATATTTGGATTAGAAACATGTAGAAACATTTACGGATATAATATTGAGGTTCATACTGATCATAAGCCTCTTGTAAATATACTGAATAAGGATATAGACAAAAGCAGTGCGTGTATTCAAAGAATGCATCTTAAACTCATTCATATGTACCAGGAAAAGAGATGTGTGTAGCCGACTTTCTGTCTAGAGCTACAGTAAATGAAACTTTATTATCAGATAAAGAACTATATGAACAAGAAACCAATGGACTTGTCTTGTTATTGCACAGGACAGGAAATCACCAATACGGAAACTTTGCCAATGCAGGATAAGCACAAAAGCACGGGGTAATAAAAAAGGCTCCCAAAAAGATCTACTGCTTCTAAAAAACTAAATGCTGCTTTCTGAAGACTACATACTGCCCAGGAAGATTAAATACTGCTTTCTGAAGACTAGATACTGCTGACAGGTCTAAGTACTGCAATAGAAAAATAAGATATTGTTGGAGAAAACATACATAACGTTGGCAGAAGACTAGATACTGCTTCTAAAAGACTAAATACTGCTTTCTGAAGACTAGATACTGCCGACAGGTCTAAATACAGCGTCTGGAACACTAAATACTGCTTTCTAAAGACTAAAATTGCTTTGTGGAGACTAAATACTGCT